GGCCGCATCTGGAGTATTGTGTCCAGTTCTGGGCTCCACAGTACAAGAGGGATGTGGAGCTGCTGGAGAGAGTCCAGCGCAGGGCTACAGGGATCATCAAGGGCCTGGAACATCTGCCCTATGAGGAGAGACTGAGGGAGCTGGGCCTGTTCAGCCTGGAGAAGAGAAGGCTGAGAGGGGATCTGATCAGTGTCTATAAGTACCTCAAGGAAGGCAGTGAGGAGGATGGTGCCGGGCTCTTTTCACTGGTGGCCACCGACAGAACTAGAGGTAATGGCCACAAACTGAAGCACCAAAAGTTTCACCTGAACTTAAGGAAAATTTTTTTAACAGTGAGGGTGACAGAGCACTGGAACAGGCTGCCCAGAGAGGTTGTGGAGTCTCCTTCTCTGGAGATCTTCAAAACCCACTTGGATGCAGTCCTGTGCCACGTGCTCTAGGTGACCCTGCGTGTGCAGGGGGATTGGACTAGATGACCTCTAGAGGTCCCTTCCAACCTTAAGCATTCTATGATTCTATGATCTCCAGTTCGAGCGGGTTTCCGCAGGGGACCAGCCACATGCACAGTTCGAGGTGTGCATGCACCACGTGATTCCCAGTAGGAAGAGCAGACAGGTTTGCAGGGGCTGAGGCCACCCCAGGCCATGTGGCAGAAGGGAGGAGGTGGCAGAAGGGAGGAGGGAGAAGGGAGGACATGCACGCACCTGGAACGGCTCTCCTCAGCTCTTAGTGACAGCCAGCTGATGCACTGGCTGATCCCCTGGTCGGCTCTCTGTGCACAACATATAAACTCAGTAAAGCCACTGGAATCAAAGAACGTGGCTTTGTAGCTGCGTGCCATGCTAGGAACCAAACACCACACAGTGCTGCTCAGGAATCAAGCATGCAGAACTGCACAATCATCTCACCTATCTTCTAGCATAAGCTGATGCATGAAATAGTTACTAGGTTAATGTGTGAAATAAGTTTGTGCCACTGTCTGATTTGAAGTTATCTGAAAATCTCCTAGTAGGGTTTCCTTACTCATCAGAAAAGTTTATCTGTTTTATTTGCGAAGCAGGTGATGATACTACTAGTGACTAACCCATATAAGTTTAATGTCTCAGACGTGACTGTCAACAAACCTTGAGCCAGCACAGCAGCCTGCTGGGTCTGTACATGCACACACAGCGATGAGCTGTGCCCTCATTCAGGCTGCGATTTTATCATAGTTCGAACAAGCTTGTGCTTTATATTGTGACCCCTCAATTTCCCGTTTCAAAGCCATTAGATTTTAAGACTCTGTCTGTGCTTGGCACACATGGGCACATTTTTAAGCACTGTCACCTGCCTACCTTGTTCTTTAGGCCCCCAGTGTAGTAGGTTTCCTCAGTATGGCTTGAACTTTAAAAGACCTGCTAAATCAAGTAGAAGTCAGTGCACTTAAACAATGTTCTTATAGTAAAGCACATTCTTGAACGCCTGTCTGAACCGGGAGCTCTAAGTAGGTTTAGTCATTCAAAGAAAAACGTGGGAAGTTTAGTGCTAGTAATGAGCTGCTGATTCCTGAGTCTATATTTTGAGGAATATTTCTGGTTTACTGTACAGCTATGAACAGCTTTGCTAGAGAAGGCTACTTGACTCCCAAAGGACTGTGGTATTCACACTAACCACAGCACTCAAAATGCCTCAGCTCAAGCTCAAAATGATAAACAAAATCTCTCTCTGATTTTAGTCATTTGTTTTATAGTCAGGCATATTATGAAACCCACTTCCCCTATACATAATCCTTGCAAAATTACAGTTCCTAGCCTGTGGTGGTAATACACTGCAGATCACCAATGTGTGGGTTTGCTTTTCCGTATTGGGCCTTTTTATTTTGTTTTTTGCTGCGGAGAGAACGACAGAAGCCAACAGTTTTACTTTCGCTGAAGCCAGAAGGAACCAACAAGGGCTGAACAGAACTAGGTCTCAGAGTCAAGATGGCAAAATCTAGCATTTGTATTTGCAGACTTGTAGTCTACTCATTCAGTTTAACCGGCACTTAGGTACTATGGGCCTTACAAAAATTATTGTCCATCCCTTCAAATGGCTCAAGGATTTAATTTTAAATATAAGCAGCAAGTCTCCAACCCAATAACTTCTGAGTACAGCTAAGATGCACCTGAATAGGATTGCTTTATATGTATGAAATGAATCAGACTTTCTGGATATTTGATGGAGAAGTGCTGGTATTTGAAATGTATTTGAATCCTTCTAGAATTTCAAGATACTAAAAAAAGTTTCTACTGACCCAAAATAAAACTTCTACAAAACAGGCAAACTGAAAAAACCTCACTTTCGGAAAATACTTCTCTCCGTCCTTCTCCACATCCAAAGAAACATATAGAAGCACAGCCTATCAGTAGATGTGACTGCAGCCACACAAAAGGACAACTTTGATAATCGTTAAGTCTTTTGGAGACAAAAGTGACATCTTGACAACTCGTACAAAAATGTTTTGTTCTGGCTTTGGCCTGTTGCTGAGAATCTCACTTAAAAGCAGCCTCTGCATGACACGAACAGAACAAACTCTGCCATCTTCCAAGACGCACACTACTTGAGGCATCTAAGTACTATGTTTGCTGAGTAGATCGAAAAGGACATCAGCTCTTCAAATGGCAAAGAGTGAAGAGAAAGAATCAAGCCTGATGTCAGAGAGAGAAGCAAGGCCTTCTCCTAAGCACAGTCTCATGTTTGGAAATTCCAAATGCAACCTTTTTTTTCTTTTTTTCTTTGTGGAAGATTTTACTAAAAGTCGCTAGATACTAGAAAGTCACAGAGTATTCAGGAGGGAACAACAGAAATAGTGGTCTTGTGATTAAATACTTGATTATAAGTCTGAAGATTTTAATTGAATTCATAACTATCATATTCACCTTGTACAATTTTGGGCAAGCTATTAAAAGGTCTGCATTATCTCATTTTGAATTGGAAATTAATACCACTTTTGACTGTCTTTCAGTTAGACTACATGCTCCTTCCTTATTCAGCACTTGCTCAGCTCCCAGCCTGGCAGGTCCCAAGCTTTTTCATTGTTTGCAGATTAGAAATTGAAGATTTTTGAACCACAGACTTCTCAATTAAAAGGCAGGGAAGGACAGGAGGGTTCAACTGTTCACTTTCTTCCAACAGAGGAAAAAGTGGTTATTAAATAACACTTGCAGACGTTTATGACTAACAAAATAGAAGACAGTTTGCTGTAGCAAAACTATAGTTCAGCTGTGGAACTCTGCCAGAGGAGGCCACAAATGTTGAAAGTTTACATGTGTTCAAGAAACAAACAAAGCTAATGGTTATATTATTGTATACAATTATACACAGAGGTACCACTTCTCTAAGTCACAAGTCACAGTAGATTGGAGGCTAGGCAAGAAGATACTATAATCTACAACACTGAGCAGCTAGAAGTTGTTGAAAAACCTGAAGCAGATGAACTTTGAGCCTCCTGTCCCCAGTGACAGAAACCAGCTCTCATGGAAATCCTGGCCTGCCAGACAGGCAGTGCTCAGTGCCTCTGAGGAGGGTGAAAATAACGCTGAACCCCAAGTGGTTGTTTACAGCAGGACTCAGAGCTATGTAAGCAAACATATGGCAAGTGCTATTCCCAGCAAAATTTCACAGGGGAGAATTTGGCCACTGAGTGATCCCAAATCTCCGATTCTACCACCCTTTGCAAGAGGCAAATCCTGGTGCCTACTTGTTTCCAAGGTCCAGCCCTTGACAAGATGGAGGCTTGGTCATTCCTGCCAGGCCACGCCATAGGGCAGAGGAACAAGTGTCCCCAGCACCCCTCCAGCTGCGCTGCAGAAGCTGTAGGCACCTTTTCTCAAGGCAAGCCAGGTGCCAGCAGAGTGTCGCGAAGATCTGCAGGGTGCTGAGCACTGCTGCATGTGTGGCCTGCCAGAAGTGCCTCCTTAATAGTTTCAACCACAGGACATGCTGAAAAGGGGAAGTGGATAATAAAGGCCCATTTCACTACAGCATTGTGGCTAAGGTGATTTAAGAGTCATTACTCCTTGTCTGCGCTGGACTTAGTGAGAGGAGAAACATGCTTGGTTTAAAAATAAATAAATGAGAACAGACTCCTTTCTCCTAGGCAGTTTGCATGCCTTACTGCAGGCTCAGATCTATTTCTGGTCCCTGTCACTAAAGGTTACTCAGACAGCAAGCAGCAATCCCATATCTAGCACTTGGCAGGGGCTCAACAGCAAGGCCATGAAGCTGTGTCAACACCTACACTGCAAAAGGCAGAAGTGTCTCTGCAGACCCCACCGGCACCCTCCAGCCTGAAAAGCATCTTTTGGTTCCGCTGGAGAGTGTGGGGGGAACACATGCCCGTGCAGACCTTGGAACAACAGAAGAGCCTAGTTAGGGCAGACAAACACTAATTGTCCAGAGGCTGTGGAGTCTCCACTTTGGAGACATGCTACACTGGACAGGACAAGGCCCTGAGCAACCTGATCTACCTTCAGAGTTAGTCCTGCTCCGAGTGGGATGTTGTTGAGCCAAATGCCTCCGGATGCCCCTTTCAACCTGAGCTATTCTAAGACTGAAGCAACAGCCTTCACGATACTTAATCGGTAACTCTTTCCATCAGCAAAAATGAAGTTTCTCAGGCTGGTCAGAAACATAAAGCAGAAGTGATACCATGTGAAACTTTAGATCTCTCTTCCAGAAAGGTGTTGTCACAATGTGATTCATGCCACGTCTCAGTTCTGTGTTCTGAGAAACTCACAGTCCTTCCTTGCACACCACAAGGGGAGCGAGGCGTGTATCACCAGATCTTTGACTGTACCTTAGTATCACAGGCCCGCAGTAGGATGGGTGGATTTTGCTGCACATATCCTCCAGCTGCAGCCGTTCTCCCGGGCTGATATCGTAGCTCTGCTTTGGGTAGCTGACCAGCCAGCCGTAGTCCACCCCAGTCTTGATCTTGCGATACTCGTTCTCCCGCTCTCGCTGCTGCTTCTCAGCCTGCTTCATCTGCCAACTCAGCTCCATCATTAGCGTCTCAGCCACCATCTCTGAGGGGTTCCTCTGGGAAATGCGGTTTGGGGGCTCATTCCACCTGAACCAGGATGCCAGTGACATAGTGCCCTGCGTTCTTCAGCGGGAGCGGGATTTGGGGTTGGGGAGAGAAAAAAAGAACAATATCACCACAATCAGCACAGCTCGGACAACATTTTCCCGCCATGTCCCCCAGATCTGTTGTTCACCTAAAAGTGAACAGTAATGCCTGTGCTAGTTTATAGTGTTCACACCTGAGGCATCCCTGTAGCAACTGGGTTTTGGCCTTGAGTACCAGCTATGATTGCTTTTACAATACCAGCCATAGCCAGCAGCTGCTGGAGGTCATTCTGCTCCTATCTCACATGTGCAGGAGGAGCAGCAGCAGGTCCTTTCATTGCTTTCATCCCTGGGAGGCCCCGGCCAGCAGCCAGCTCCTGCTCTCACATCATCACAGCGCTCTGACTGCTCGCTTGCTTGCCCAGGACATGTGAGCGAACGCGGGCTGGGATTGCTGCAACCCTCAAGTGTACAGGGTCTTGTTACGTGCCAGCCTCTGCTCAGCAGCACAGGTTTTCAGGGATGAAGATCCTAAAAACCGAAGACCTCCTTCTTCATAGCAATTGCATTATCATTGCTATTTTCATCTATACCTTCACCTGATGAGGCCGAGCGTGCCCTCTTGCTTGTGGTATTTTACCAGCTTGTGGTTAGCTTACTCCACTTTTATTCTGGCTGAGACCTGGTCTCACACTGATTTAACCTCAGTGGAGTTAGCCAGGGGCAAGTCAGTATAGAGAAGCCCAGCTACGAACCTGACACTTCTGCCTCCTCCCAACTCTTCCTAGCTCACCAGCTATTTCATTGGGAGATGGACAAGGGGGTAATTTAGTAGTTAGAACTAGGAAACAGAGCAAGGAGGAGGCATGGGCTCTGACTTGATCCGCTCTGGCTCTCACATGGTCCTGGGCTTTTCTTACTGCCTTTTTATTTCATCACACAGTCTCACCTCCAAGCGAGCTCTTCTGTGCAGGGAGGAGCCTCCTACCTAGCACTTACGTTGGGTGTCAAGGCAGTCCTGCAGAGGACAAGCAGTCACAAAAATATTGCAGATATATTCATTGCAAGGCCTGCTGAGCCCAAGCCTGGCACTAACAAGGAGCTTTCATAAAACACTGGCACACTTACTTTTGCAAAGGGAACACAGATACCCCGACCCTGCATAAGCCTTGCACTTTCATCTCCTATGTTAACATCCACTTCCAAATGGGAAAGCATGAAGCAAGGAAATCATCTCACCTGCCACTGAAATGGCCCATTCTCAAATGAAGGAAAATCTTATCCCAGCGTTTTATGCACAGTGGCAGCTTGTGCTGGCTGCCCCTGAGGGAGCCTTGTTTGTATGAGATTGTTTCCTTCCCCATCCCTCATCCATCATCTCCTCTTCCCAAGAGCTGGAAGCCAGCCATCTCCATTTGGCAGGACTGAAAGCCACCACTGCCCAACGCGGGGCCCTGCAGCCTGCTGGAGGTACTGTGGCCTCCACTAATTGTAGCTGCTGTTTTCAATTTAGAGCTCACAGGCAGGCTAATTCTGCATTGCCTCCGAATGGCTCTCCTGTTAGGGAAGAGGCAACGGACTATCAGCAAGATGTGGCCACCTAAGGGGAGGAAAAGGGCTTGGAATTACCTTCTCACTGAGGAGAAGGACAAAAGTACACTTTGCAAGCATTCATGGTGAAATTATAAAAAGAAAGAAAGAGACACTGCCTCATCTGATACTTGTGCTGTATAGTTGGCAGTTTTCTGATCCTTTCTGATCAGTTTTCTGATCCCAGGTTTTCCTGGTAGCTGGCTTTAATCCATTTGATGAGCTGGTTAGGGGTTATTCAAGCAAAATTTCAGGGTCATTTATTGAAGCTCCATCCAGAAGCATTTCGAGTTTCAAGATTTCCATGTCATTCTCTGTGTGAAACCTTCCCTTCGCGCTGTTGACTGCAAGGTGACAACCACCTCCCAAGGGTTTAGGCAGGCTTTTGCTGTAGCTACATTGAAGTCTGGAATTCTGGCTTCTCTCACACACAGCCTTGGGGATTTCCTTCATTTTTTAGCGATTGTTAGTAAGTACCTTTGAGACTTTCTCAAATGAAAGTTTTCTTTTAGCTGTAGTTATAAAGAAACTTTTTGCTCATTCCAAACCTTATTTCTCAGCATTGCCAGCACGTCCTGCATTTCTCTCCCTCTCGCTTCCTCTAGAGCTTTGCTCCGTTCTTTTCTCACCACATGCTCTGTACCTCTACCCCACTTCTTCCACCTCTCACCTTCAGCTTTGCCTGTATTTCCCCGTGTTTTCCACTTCTTGCTCCAGAAGCTGCACAAAGGAGCCAAGCAGTATCAAGGTCTCGGTTTCTCCCCTTCCCAAAACAAGATTGCAGCCTTTCCTAGCTCTTTTACGACCAAAGGGAATATTTTCTGTAACGTACTCTTTGCCTATTGTTTGGCCAACTGAAGGCTGTTCATGTAACTGGACAGACATCAATCTCCTGGAGACTCTTGCGGGCAGGATCACTGTTTGCTAAGACTTGTTATATCAGGGCTGCTTTCTCATAAGCCATGAGTGAATCAGCAGCACCAGCTTCCCCTGTAGAAACTGAATTTCTGAGAATGAAGAATTCTCTTTCCATTGATTCTTCTCACAGCTTCCAGCTTCCAAAGGCTTCCAGGACTGGAAGGAGGCACAGAGCGGGATGTGCAAAGTGAGAATACAGCTTGACCCTCTATAAGTGTATGTTCTCAGTTTGTCAGGTTTCCTGTGACTTGCATTTCTCTTAGTAGCCTGTTAATCCAGGAGTGCTACTGATAATCATTACTGATTTACAGTAGTCCTGGGGGCACATCAGTTGTGCCAGAGTGGAGGGAGAAAAGTCTTGAGGGCTTGGACAAGCAGGAGTCTAATCCAAAGTCCAGTGACGTCAATGGAAACATTGTCACTCATTTCAGTGGGCTATAGATAGAGCCCCAGGAAATCCACTGTCAGACAGGCAAAGCATGGTGACAAACTGGGAGCTCGGAAATACCTTCTCTCCCATCCCGTGGGTGGTGGTTTCTTACTACTAGCAGCAGAGAGCAGAGAGACAGAATTTGTTCATGCAGGAGACCCGTTCAACCTTTTCCCACATATGCCAGATCAGAGAGTAACAAGCAAGGAAGACAGTTTCTAAAAGAAGCAGAACAAGCTTCATCCCCAGATTGTGCTGGTAATCTCAGCCACTTTTTAAAGGGGACACAAGAAGAAGAGAAGATGTGACACTGGGGGTCATATGAAAATACTGAATTAGTTTTTATTTTCCTTTTTGGTGAAGTTTGGATTGCATCATTCAAAGAGTCAGAAACCCAGCGTCCTCTGGACAGCAAAGAGTATCTAATCATCTCTCTGCACTGCACCTCAAAGGTAGACTGAAGCCAGCTTGGCTACACCCATCTCAGAAGTCTGTATGTGATAACTGATGCATCCAGGCTTCCCATGCATGGCATCTCAGAAGTCTGTATGTGATAACTGATGCATCCAGCCCCATGCAGGGCTGTGCTGCTGCCTAAACCTAAGTAAGCAGTGACAGCGCCACAGAGGAATCCCAAATTCTGGTTTTCTTGTAACAAAGGTATTTTTATTTTGTTTCAAACAAAGAATCGAAGCACAGTTCTAAATAAGAAACTGCTATCAGCACCTTCCCAGTTTTATTTATATAACCCGTCATAAGCCTGTAATGAAGACCTTGCTCCCTGTTCCTCTACCACCTCTCTGCAAGGCTGGTTAGTCTTATCCACTGCATGGAGAGCCTCGCCTTCCCAGGGCTCCAAGAACACCGCTTCCCCTCCAGCTGGAATCTCCTTTATTGTTTAGCAAAGTGGAAGGCTACGGCATTTATGACTGCTTGCTGGGCTATTGTAATCTCAGGGGAAATTCTGACCTCAGATTGAGAGCCCACACCTATCCTGGGTGACAATTAATGCCAAAAGGCATTCAATAGAGCTCTTCAGGCAAGACACTTAAAAGCCATGCAAATATCCTGATAGTAATGCAGCAGCTCTCCTCAGCCCCACTGCTGAATAGCGAATAGCAAGGGTTCCTGGGGAGGCTGGGGTCTGCTTTTAGACCACATCAGAGAATGCATTCCACTTTAGGAGCACAGGAACTGTTTTGAAGGACACAAGCTATTTGCGAACAAAGAATCTTCAGAGCGGTTAACATATATCCAAGGATATGACCCAGTTTCAAGTAGCAGGGAGTTTTGATTAACAGAAGCACAGGGGATCAAGGTGGTGCTTCAGATGAAGCGTTACTGACTGTCAAGTCGTGATGGCTGCACGTGTCAGAGGGTGCCAGAGGGAGCCCAGGCCAGTGCCCAAGGGGCAGGGGCGCTGTGCTCAGGGGAGGCACTCGCGAGCCAGGGAGCGCTGACCCCCGGCCCTCGCTCAGGGCTGGAGCTGCCTGCGCAGGCATCGCGGCTCGCGGTGAAGGAGGGGAGCCGACAGCCTGCAGGCAGCCGGGTGTTCATACGCCGTACGATTTCCTCTCCTCTAGACTCTCTACTCTCATCATAGGTAGCATAACAGAAGGGCAGCCAGAGCGTGTCTTGCTGCAGGAGGTGCTGTGAGATGAAACAGAAATCAAAGGGATACCAGCTCTACCAAAGGAGCATCTGAGTGGCCTTTTGTAACTAGCACCGCATACAGTTAGGCCACATTTTCTTCTTTCAGTTAGTAGTTCTGAAAAGAAGATTTCTTTGTAATGTAACTCCTTAAAATTGAGAATACGAGTAAAATGTTGCTCTGACTTGCCCTACATTTGTGTATTTTCTAATTCACTCTTCGAGCATAAATCTTTCAGGGGAAAAAAAAAGTACCTCCGGTGCATTTCACATCTGTACTTAGATTGCAAGAAGGCAGAAGAAACAAGTCCTTGGCCTGACCCGGACTCAGCTGTCGGTGGGAAAGCTATTTTTAAATGACCAATGAAAACAACAACACAAGCAGAAAAGGTAGGCGATAGAAACAGCTACAGCCTCAGGATCTTCTGTGCAGCTGGACTAACATAAAGCAGAT